TTAATTTAAAAGTAAATATTAAAAAAACACAGTTAAACATCAATTTTGGTATGTCTTTTCTATTTACTAAGATATTGCTCATGTAATAAATCAAACACAGTGGCACCCCCTACCACATCTTTCCATTGTTGGAAATGCTCCCTTATATACACTTACTTCTATAAATCAAAAGCTCAGAATGTCATCCTAGTGGCTTTATAAGCCATCTTAATGTGTTTGGACACCATTTCTTTCTTTCGACCCAAGATTTCAAGGAGGTAGATTGTGTCTACAGTCTGCTCGAAATTTCATATTTTTTTAGACTGAAATACAGCTTAGTTACTAGGCTTGATTAACTTTAAAAGTTATAGCATGAAAACTATAACAAGCACAAAATGGTTATGAAGTTGGTCCTAGGGACCGAGCCCATGCTCAAAGAGTTAAAAGACTATACATATGAGAGCATCCTCTTACAAGGACTTTAGATGTGAAACATCAAAATGCCCTGTTTAAAGGTTATGCTTGTAACAACATCATTTTACAAGAACTTTAGATGTGACACATCAAAATGTCCTGTACAAAGATTATGCTTGTGAGAGCATCCTCTTACTAGGACCTTACCTATGAGATGTAAGAACCACGGAGCGTCCTTCTTTAACCATATCAATGATACAGTTCCACAGAAATCTTCTAGCTTTTGGGTCCATTCCTGTTGTCGGTTCATCCTGGAAAAATTAAGTAATTTATACATAATTAATAAAATTGGTGATAAATAAACAGCCTCAGTATGAAATCACAATCAATTTACCATATCTTATATTACCACTACAGCAAAACCATCTCTGTCATGACTAAGTTCTACATTACTACTACACTCACAATAGGGATGATTATCAGTTAATACTGATATGTAAACAAACAACTTTTTTACTTACCAAAGAAATAATGACAGATAACAAAAACCTAAATTAAAATTGTGAAAATCATTCTGTTATCATGCATATCTAATTAAACACTCACCAAGAATACCAATGATGGGTTACCAAGCAAAGCTATGGCTGTTGAAAGTTTCCGTTTATTCCCACCAGAGTAGGTTCCAGCACATCGGTCTGCATAGTCAGTGAGACCAAGCTTTCTTGTTCCCCAGCAGGCAATCTATTAAGAACATACACAAACATTCTAATATTTAGCCTCAAAATTTGCACTAGTTTAGAAACACATTTTCTATGGTATTCCATAAAGCTTTGTGTAATAACACAGAACAGATGTAGAGACACCTACTTTTCTAACATATTTCTCTGGAATGCCACGAAGCCGAGCATAGAACTCCAGGTGCTCTGTACCAGTCAGAAGTGAGTCCAAGGCATCAAACTGTGGGCAGTAGCCAATATTTTCTCTTGCTTGATCCACTTCTGTTTTGATGCTATCAGAAACATGGAGAAAGGAACAATATTTAGTGATATGTTAATATGTCACTTGAGAGTTATGTAAAATGTTCAGTAGATACGTATATGTAAGGTGGACTGAAAACTCGATTACAGAATCACACATAATAAAAAAATCCTCATATCATCATTGTATGATGACAGAAAAATAAAACAATATTCACTAAGAAAATACACTCTTCCACTAAAGTTATAATTTTCCAATAGGTACTTACCTATTCTCACATAAATAGTCATTCTCATTCAGTGATGTCCTCTGTATTCAAAAACAATTTTTCACATACCACAAGCCTTGAGCTCCCATGTACCTTACAAATGACTGATTCAAATGCGTCTCACGTGCAAATCATCATGTGACAATCCTTCACCAATAAGAGTGTGATACACTCTCTTGATGCATGTGACTATCTCTATCCAATTCTACCAAACTACCACTTCGAGTTTTGGAGGAAAATGGAAGTACTGGTTTTCAGTGGGGAGGAAGGGTGGGAAGTACCTATCAGAAATATATTTTCAGTATAGGAAAATTATAACTTCTGATATGGTACATTACCTCTTCTCATATAAATAGCTAGAATCCCACATTGAATAGGTAGAGGGACCTGTGTGAGGGAAAGAAAAAAGCATCCTTTGAAAGTGTCTGAAGGACACCCTAAAAAACTAAATCTTCGCAGTAGAGGTTCATACATGGGAGACTGCACCACATCTGTACCAGGTATACTCTTTGCCCAGTGTGGAATGAGGTGTTACAGACCTTGGTGGAAAAAAGGGAGGAGCATATCCCTAAGGGAGAGAAAAATGGTGGGATAGGGATCTGAACCAGATGATAGTGGAATCTCAATCTCTTACAGTACATCAGTGTAGACGAGAGTAAAAGGATATGCCTCCAGATGTAGAATGGCTAGGGCACAACAGACCATACACAGCAAGTCAACTACATCCAAAACACAGGCCGCTGGGAACTTACAACCATGCGGGGGTAGGATGAGGATCAAACCAATGGTAAGTCAACTACAATCCAAAACCCAGGCCACTGAAAACCGACATCCATGTGGGGGTAGGAAAGAGGATCATACCCTTTTCACCTCAAGTTCATCAGACCAGAGGGAATCTCATACCCCCTGATCTATGAACAGGACACCTGATAATAAAGTGAGCAATTGATTGACCGATCCGAGAACCCAACTTCCAGTATCATAAAGATGTCTTTGTAATGTAAACCATCTCACTCAAAAACAATCTGACAGGAACCGCCTTTAGTGCAATAAAATCCTCAAGGGATAGGGTAAGAGGTAAAACCATATTAATCTGGAAGTACCTCCATCATGGCTCACAACACTGATGGAGGAGCAAGAGTATAACTGAGTGAGGAAATAGAGACACCTGTAATACATGTGTGAGGACTTATGCTGATTGGTACAGCTCTAAATCCAAAACCCAGCCACTGGAAATTTACATCAACATGGGAGTAGGATGATGGATCCCATTCCAAGGGGTGAACTGCAATTTTGACAGCTCACTTCAATTATACATAGTGAAGGACATCTCATCATCTACACCAGCAGAACACCACTGCCCTACTCTAAACTGAATGGTTTTATCATTATATGTATATTTTATCATTATCACATTCAGGAGGATGCCTCCATGGTCCACCACCCCAGCAGCTTGGAACTGGAAAGTGGTAAGAACTCCCATTCTCCACTGGAAGAAAAAAGGAGAAATTGCAGTGGAGAGCCCGGAGGAGCGACAACACCTGAGACAGTACAACGGGTGACTATGAAAACCCTATTTTAAAAGGCAGACCACACCTGATTTATTCAATCTAAGGCATGGCAGCTATCCCCTTCTGCTTTACCCATGAAATCCATGGGTGAGTATAGTCTAGGACGGGCATATTAATGATGCAAATATATCGCAAGGATAAACCTACAAGTGATCTTGTGGAACACCCCCATCTCAGCAGTGAGCATTTAGTGGCCAGGGAAATTATAAATTTTAGGTCATCATGGCCTTACTTTGTAGAAATGACTATTTTTAAGTATACCTGGTTAGGCACCACTCGACGCAGAGTGGAATACAGACAGTGTAGAAAGAAAAAGGGAAAAGCCCCTGAACAATAAGAGATATAGATATAAAATATAACTTTCCCAGTCACAGTCTCACCAAAGTCTGAAGAATGGCTACAAGCAGAAGACGATAACCCAAAGATGAAGATACAGCGATCCAATGCAGACAGTGAGATGTGAATGTATGATGAGTAGTCAACATGCCTGAATAAAGAACTTCCTCCAAGGAACGATGGAGATTAGATGCTAAGGAAAAGGTAAGGTGCCTGATCTGACATGAAGATGCCTGGAACAAAGTATGGGAAGAAGGCGATAAGGAAGAATAAGCCAATCAAATTAAAAACCAAAGCTAATTGGTCATGGTGGAAGGAAAAAGGTCATGAACAGAAGATATCTGCCAAGGAATGAATAGGTGTTAACGGGCACCACACAAGGAAGCTGTGCAAGCAACATAACAATGAAGAGCACAAAAAGGACATAGTAGCCTACCCAACTGAGAATAAAGGTGGGAAATAGAAGGAAGGGAAATCGAGGAGAAGGAATAATTACCCTCCTGAGATGCTGATGTTTTGGGGAGGAAATATCAATCCAAATTAAGGATAATGTATGTGGAATGATATAGAGTATGTGAAATATCGATGGCAAATAAATCTGACCTATGACGTCCACAGAATAAGAAGAGAAGGAAATAAGTCTTAAGTGATAAGTGGAAAATCGAGCACAAGAACAGCAGTTCAAACAGAGGCAAAGTGAGGCAGTGAAGAACCACATTAAGATCATAATACGGAAGGAGAGCATGCTGAGGTGGATGAGTAATCCGGAAGGAATGCAACAAGAGTGAAAGGGCAGGAGAAGTAAAAACTTTACGTTACTGGGAAAAATGAAAAGTGTGGGATAAGGCAGCCCAATAACCTGTGATTGAGGAGACATAAGACCCTTGATTAAATAGCCAAGTGAGGAAATCTGTAACCATGGGTGTAGCGGGTGAAAATCTCTGACTGAAAGACCAACAACAGAAAGCTTTCCACTTGCATTGATAAAATTCTTTAGAGGAAGGGTGAGTGGAACAAGCTAAAAAGAAGCTACCCATGGGACAAACCGGATCTCTTCACCAGAGACCGGATAATAAACAGGCATGTAGACAAAGGATAGGAGGGGCTGGATGAAATGCTGGTGACCAGGGTTGACTTAGAAGGGATGGAGTACTGAAATCTCCATCGAACAAAGTTGAAGAGAAGATTGGGCATGACTGAGATGAGTGTTGAAACAAAAACACCCAAATGGACAAGATATTGGGTGGGTTAGTATAAGGAATGACTTCTCCAATTTGATTGCCTACACGAGCTGCCTCCGGGAGCAGCTGATGAGTGTGATGGGTTGACTCCTGTTTGTAACAAGCTAATAAAAGCCAGCCATCCATGCAATGATAGAAGTGCAACCCTTGAGCATATAAATGTTGGGTGAATACATTGACCACCCAACAAAAGATATATGGGGCCAAAGCATAGCTGAAGAGCAAAGCACAAAATGGATAAACTGCCCCGTGATGAACGAACCGAAGATAAGTGTTTCGACTGAAGAGATATCGGGATATGTGAGTAACCATTCGTGACGTCTACCTTGTTCATCCACAAACCCAGAGAAAAAGTCCACCTGAGAGTGAGAAAAGACTCCACGGTAAATCGGGGTAGAACCAAAAATTTATTGAGGCAGAACAAATTGATCACAGGCTGCTTGTCTCCAGTTTTCTTGGGTACTACAAACAGCCTGGAATAAAAAACCTGGAGAAGGATGATTGACAGGTTCGATGGCCTGCCGGGAGAGAAGATCTTGTAACACCTCAGTCAGATGCTGACTGGTAGTAGGATTCCCAGGCAATGGGTATTTGAGATAATGGAGGAGGGGAAAGAAATTGTATGACAAGTCACTTGGATAAAACCCAAATAACCCACAGATCTGTGGTGAAAGGTCACCAAAGAGGAACAAAATCGGACAAATGAGCCCCTGCTGGACCAGAACCCACCAGGTAGTCACCAGTAGTTTTGGCAATGTGTCTACATGGAATAAAACGATGAGATGAGAAACCTATGGAGGGAGGAACAGGTAAAGGCCAAGAAGGTGCTGGACTGGAAACAGTAATAGGGGTATGTCTAGGCTCAAAATGCAACAAATGATCCACCAAAAAAGAAAAGGTTGTGTGATGTCGCACGGACTCCACATGGGATTACAAAGTTTCAGGAATATTACTAAAAACACACCACTGAAGAAAAGGGGCCCATACATATGTCCCAGAGATGAGGAGGCAGTAAATGAACCTGGGAGATCCCCAAATCAGAGAAACCACGTGTGTAAGGCTAGAGACAAAGAAGACAAACATGCCAATGTGGAGGTAATCAGGGAGAGGCAATCCCTTGAAAAACCCTCAGGATCTCTGTAGATCCCCTCAAAAAGAAGGTGGATAGTAGATAAGTACCGTAGGAGAGTCGATAGGGTAAGACGAAAGTGGAAAAATTGGGTGTGGGATAAATGAACAGGATGATCAGGGTCTGCTCCCCACATGGCCAAAATCAATTCTAACTGTTGAGAGTCAAGTAATGGATATTCAGCCTGATGGTAGGCCAAGGCAAATTGATCCAAAGCTCGCATAGGGCGAGGCATGCTGGCGCCCTCAACCATCTGTGAAACAAAATTCTCAGCATGAACCACAATATCCAGGATAGGAGGGAAACTAAATACTGACAGGAGGAGGTATCATGTAACAACAAAGGATGGGGATCATATAAAATGAAGGAAATGGGTAAAAGAGAACATACCAGAGAAATCATGTCTAAAAAGCTGAATTAGGCCTAGCTGATTCCACAGTAGGGGCATAGGAAGACACGGCAAAATCAGGGGGTGTAAAAAGGCTGCAAACATCCTAGTTGACCCAAACTGGTTCAGCATGCTCAGGAGGAATAGAGGCAAGATCAGGAAAAGCAGGTCAACTCATATAACGATCAATCTCCTGGCGGATGATAGCCAATAAATCCAAATACATGTCACCACCACCTGTAGCCTGTGTGAGTATGCTAGTAGAAGGTATGATATCTGAAGTGGTAACTTGAACTTCAGAATTCATTGTGTAAAATTAAAAATCAAACAAAAGTGTCTGAGGGAAAAAAAATGAAAACTGGAAAAATAAGTTATCTGAAAGTCATTAACTGTTGAAAACACAAAATTTACTTCTGAATAATAACTAAAAACAAAACCACGAAGTGATTAAGTTCAAAGAGCACATAGAAAAACCCATCTTGACAAGAGTATTGCCAAACAAGAAGTGATAGTTCAGTATAATCAAATAAAACGAGTCATATGCATCAGGAGAGTGTGTTGCATAATGATTTGCATGTGAGACACATTTGAATCAGTCAATTGTAAAGTACGTGGGAGCTCAAGGCTTGTGGCATGCAAAAACATTTTTTTGCATATAGAGGGCAGCACTGAAAGTGTATAGCTATTTATGTGAGAGGAGTAAGTACCATATTGGAAACCAGTACAAGTCTGTAAATAGCTCTAAACATACACACTTGTTTTAAAGCATTTATAAAAGTAAAGCTTACATGTTTAAAACAGTTTGGGACTGTACCTGTAACCATTAATAAAAGCATTCCCAGCAGTTACACTAGTTCGTCCTGTTAACATCTTGAAGGTTGTTGTCTTTCCTGCTCCATTAACACCCAGCAAGCCAAAGCAGTCACCTGGTTTTACTATTACGCATAAACGATTGACAGCTGGGTGTTGTCCTGTTCTGTACACCTAAAAGCAAGATGCATAGATACAATACTATTATACTATCATAAACACTATATATATATATCTTACAGTTTCTACATACACCATAAATTCTCTACTGTATATAAAAACACGAAAATAACATACTCTTAAAGAAATCAGAAAATCAACCATGAATTAGCTAAAAACCAGCTCTAGTGAAATGCATTAGCCAGTATAATAGAATCTAATAATATGGATCTAGCAGGCTTCAGAGCTGGGATTAAACAAGATTGAGAAATGTCAATTTGACTTTTGCTGGGGTCGAGATATATTGTGAACGATGCCAAGAAGATGGGGCACAACAACTTATGAAAAATTGGAGGAAAAAAACATATTTAAGGCAATGCATGAGCATCAAGACACTTCAAAAAAAAAAAGAAAATGATGAAAACTTAAGGCAGTCAGAAAAATGAAGAAACTCTAATTGAGCAAACTGAGGGTTACGAATAATAAACTAAAATGAAGAAACTCAAACTGAGCAAATTTAGGGTTATGAATAATAAACCAAGAAAATGAGCATCAAGGCTCACTGATGTCTGTTCTCGTTACAAGCCAAGAGTTTTGTAAGACAACTTAAATATATTTGTTTGTTTGTTGTTAAGGGCAAAGCTACACAATGGGCTATCTGTGCCATATTCACCATGGAAAAGGTTTTCAAGAGGTATAAACCTCCATTCTTACTGCTGAGCCACTGAGAAGAATTTAAGTATGTCCGAAGACAGAAAATGTACAGTGATAAAAAGAAAGTTCAAAAGACATAACTTGAGAGGAGTAATCCAGAAGTTTAGTCTATTACCATAACAACTCATAAAAAGTTTTCATATTATGCAGTAAAGTGCAACTTTCTTACCTTTGTCAGATTCTCAATTTTTAGCACAGCATCTTTAGTGCTGCCATTCAGCACCTTCTTCCTTTCAGCAGCAACATCATCATCAACATCTTCTATTTCTTCATCAATGGAGGGTTCTCTGATGAACAAGGCAGAAAAAGAAATGATATTTAAATGTCTGAGAAAGTAACATTTGGTAGACTAATTTTGAAACAATATACTGATGACATGCTAACATACAAATCTAGATAAGCTTGAACACAGGAGGATGAAGTCTGTTAAAATATCAGAAAAACTATAGCTTATAACAGGCTTATAACCAAAAGCTTACAAAGTATTAGAAGTCCGTAAATAGTATTATAATGTATGTATAAGTAGCATTTCAGAGAATCTTTTGTTTTTCATCATCCTGCCCAACTGATAAGTTCACGTACTGAACAAAAGGTCTCTTGGGCAATGACTTGTTGGAGACAAGAAATAAATCTGAAATTCTATTTTTACAAGACTCTAAGTTTGAATTTACAATGGAAAAACTGGGAGGAATGTGAGAAAAATATCCGCAGTTCACACAATTTTTATCACAAATTTTAGGTTTATAATTACAATTAGAGAACTATGTTTCTATAAGGCTTCATGATACATCTAATGGAAACTATAAGTTATAACAGGCTTATAAATTGAAACTAGAAAGTAATACTTGCTTCATATTTTAATGCTGTATTATACAAACACATACTTTAGTAGATCCAGTAATTAGGTTTCATATTAATCATTTTACTAATGAGAATACTAATTAAGTCATATTCTGTTACAACAACTCACCTTTTGGATATAAAAAATCGATACTGAATCAATATGGTCACGAAGAAAAAACCAACAGCTTGGACGGACATGCTTAGCAGATTACGACCCAAAAAGTCCCATTCCATGGGATCCCGAAAGGTGTTGATTCCTGCGTTAATAGTAATAAAAATTATTACTCTATATTGGCACTAAATCTTGATCTCTTACTTGGACTCATGACCCAAACTGATTGTTCACAATACATAAAAAAAAATTATAATTTGGAAAAGACGAAGAAATAGCTACTACACTGTAACACAAAACTTTGCTCGTGCTCCAACACAAAAACTCTGCATGTGTTGTAACACAAAAACTCTGCACGTGGTGTAACACAAAAACTCTGCACGTGGTGTAACACAAAAACTCTGCACGTGGTGTAACACAAAAACTCTGCCTGTGGTGTAACACAGAAACTCAGCATGTGTTGTAACACAAAAACTCTGCCTGTGCTCTATCTAACACAGAAACTCTGTGTGTGTTGTAACACAAAAACTATGCAAAGCAGCAATACAAAACTGTAGAAAGAAGACATACAGTGGATTTTAGATACCAAAGTAAAAGTATATTACCATACAAACTGATAAGTCAATATAAATATTACCACACAAAAACCAAAAGTCAATATACATATTACCATACAAAAAGTGATCAGTTGATATAAATATTACTATTAAAAAACAGAAAGCTGTCAACACAAATATTACTATTAAAAAACAGAAAGCTGTCAACACAAATATTACAATAAAAAAACCAGTAAGTCAATAAATATTATTAAACAAAAACAAGTAAGTCAATAAATATTACTATACAAAAACCAATAAGTTGCCAATAGGATAAAATTTATCACACCCAATCCACAAATCTTACTGTCTTACTGTACCTACTATTTACTCTCTTCTGTGTGATGACAAGGCTTACAAACCCAACCCAGAGATCTTACTGTCCATAATGTATACATTCTTCTGAGTGATCACAAGACAAACCAAACCCACAGATCTTACTGTACCTAATATTTACACTTTTCTGTGTATTGACAAGACTTATCACACCTAACCAACAGATCTTACTGTACCTAATATTTACACTTTTCTGTGTATTGACAAGACTTATCAAACCTAACCAACAGATCTTACTGTACCTAATATTTACACTTTTCTGTGTATTGGCAAGACTTATCAAACCTAACCAACAGATCTTACTGTCCCTGATGTATACATTCTTCTGAGTGATCACAAGACTTACCAAACCTAACCCACAGATCTTACTGTCCCTGATGTATACATTCTTCTGAGTGATCACAAGACTTACCAAACCTAACCCACAGATCTTACTATCATACTGTACCTAATATTTCAACTCTTCTGTGTGATAACACAGCTCAGGAAATCCAACCCACAGATCTTACTTTAACTAATGTTTACGTCCTTCTGTGTGATCACTTGACTTACCTAATCACACCTAATCTCGCTGTCCTTAATGTATATGCCATTCTGTGTGATCACAAGACTTACCTAGCCCAACCTAAGGATTTTACTGTACTTAATATTTAATTTATTCTGTGTGTTGACAAGACTTACCAAAGCCAATGCACAGATCTTAGTATCGTATTGTACCTAAAATTTATTCTCTTCTGTATAATGAGAAGACTTATCCAACACAATATACATATCTTACTATCCTACTGTACCTAATATTTACTCTATTCTGTGTGATTGACCTACCAAAGCCAATGCACAGATCATACTATACCTAATGTTTACATCCTTCTGTGTGATCACAAGACTTATCTAGCCCAACCTAAGGATCTTACTGTACCTAATATTTACTCTATACTGCGTGATAACAAATCTTATCAAACCCAACTCACAGATCTTACTGTACCTAATACTTACTCTATACTGCATGATGACAAGGCTTACCAAACCCAATGCACAGATCTTACTGTACCTAATATTTACTCTATTCTGTGTGATGACAAGACCTACCAAAGCCAATGCACAGATCATACTATACCTAATGTTTACATCCTTCTGTGTGATCACAAGACTTATCTAGCCCAACCTAAGGATCTTACTGTACCTAATACTTACTCTATACTGCATGATGACAAGTCTTACCAAACCCAATACACAGATCTTACTGTACCTAATACTTACTCTATACTGCATGATGACAAGGCTTACCAAACCCAATACACAGATCTTACTGTACCTAATACTTACTCTATACTGCATGATGACAAGGCTTACCAAACCCAATGCACAGATCTTACTGTACCTAATATTTACTCTATACTGCGTGATAACAAATCTTATCAAACCCAACTCACAGATCTTACTGTACCTAATACTTACTCTATACTGCATGATGACAAGGCTTACCAAACCCAATGCACAGATCTTAGTATCGTATTGTACCTAAAATTTACTCTATACTGCGTGATAACAAATCTTATCAAACCCAACTCACAGATCTTATTGTACCTAATATCTACTCTTTTCTGTGTGATGACAAGATTTATAAACCCAACCCACAGTTTGCACTGTCCATAATGTTTACACTCTTCTGTGTGATGACAAGACTTACCACACCTCACCTACAGATCTTACTATACCTTATGTTTATATTTTTCTGTGTTATGACAAGACTTACCAAACCGTGCAAAGGTTTCAGCTGCTAAATGGTTAGTTGACATATCCATTAATCCTCTACCGAGACAATAGTGAGGAAATATGAGAAACACCTTCTTGAGAATGGCAGCTATTGCTCGTAATTCCTGTAAACATAACGAGTTATTTTGTCATGAAAAACATTATTTAAAACATTAACATAGTAGTTCGTTTTTACATAACATAAGGATCAAAACATGTTTGATATTTGTTGTTGTTGCTAATTTGGGAGCAATTACACCTTCTATCACAAAAACTATTTATGTACTGGTTAATTAAATCACATGGACAACCACAACTAAATACAAGAACACACCACAACTAGACAACTTCTACTAAAAGCAAGTGAAGCACCATGGGATTAAATTTCCTATCGTCAGCCTAGCTGGAATTTTACACTACTCCAGCTAAGACTGTTTTTCCTGGCAATTACAACAGTATCTACAAGCTGCAAAAACTTTAGTATTGCTAAACCTTTTAAGAGAAAAATGTGTTTGAAGGAATATAAGAAAGCATGATTAAGATTCCTAAACTAACACATAACTGCTGGTTCTGGATTTATTAAAGTGTAGCTTAGTTTTGATGAAAGAACCATATCAAAATGATGTTACTCTATTAGAGCCACAACCACTTTAAAATGAGTTTGAGGTTACTCTGTTAGAGCCACAACCACTTTAAAATGAGTTTGAGGTTACTCTATTAGAACCACAACCACTTTAAAAAAAGGTTACTCTATTAGAACCACAACCACTTTAAAATGAGTTTGAGGTTACTCTGTTAGAGCCACAACCACTTTAAAATGAGTTTGAGGTTACTCTGTTAGTGCCACAACCACTTTAAAACAAGGTTACTCTATTAGAACCACAACCACTTTAAAATGAGTTTGAGGTTACTCTGTTAGAGCCACAACCACTTTAAAACGAGGTTACTCTATTAGAACTACAACCACCTCGAAATGAGGTTATTCTATTAGAACCAAAATTACTTCAAAATGAAGTTACTCTGTTGGAACCACAACCACTTCTAAATGAAGTTACTCTATTATAACCAGAACTAGTAGATGATGTTGCTTTTTTAGAAATAGTATCACTTCAAAAGAAAGTTACTCTATTAAAACCAGAACCACTTCAAAATGAAGTTACAATATTAGAATCACAATCATTTCAAAAGGAAGTTACTCTATTAAAACCAGAACCACTTCAAAATGAAGTTACAATATTAGAATCACAATCATTTCAAAAGGAAGTTACTCTATTAGAACCATAACCACTTAAAAATTAAGTTTCTCTGTTAGGACCACCATCGCTTAAAAAAACAAGGTTACTTTAAGGTATGAATGCCGAAAGAATTAAAATAGGAAAAAAAGTTCACATCTGTACCTCATCATCAAACAGTTCCAAAACAAAAGTTGCCACGGTTGTGACAATTCCAATAAAAAGGTTGAGACAGGCCAAAGCTACAAAGGCAGAGCTAGGGACTGTAAATATGTAGGAGGCAGGATACATCAATGGCACACTTGCCCAGCTACAAGAGGCAGAAAATGCATGTTATCATACAGCTTTGTTAGTTTCTGTGTTAAATGAAAAGAAAGTACACAAAACACACACAAACTTAAGCCTGAGGTAGTAAAGTATTGTAATTACATAGTTTATTAGGAATATCAACCATCCTTAACTAGCTAGATAATTTTATGGTAAAATCTTGACACACAGTACCTCTTCTGTATATTCTATGTATTTACACTCAAGTATTATATATATTGATTATTCTTTACATATTTAATAAAAACTACCACTGAAGTTCATCTATTAATATTTTAATTGAAAAATCTGAATAAACAGAAAATGGAGTTTCAAAATAATAGATAAAATAATTTAATCACTGACATTAATTAAAGACAAACCTCTATCTTGGTAAATATTCTTCATTGAAAAGGCTTACTTACTTCAAAGACATCTGATTATTAAGAAACATAACGTTTAACAGAAAATAATAAATAATTTGCCAATGTTATGTTTAAATTTAATACACATCTTCTTGACATGGTATAAAAGCAAAATATTTTATGACAAGTCACACTGTATTACAGCCAATTTTTTATATGATAATATATATTAGTAAACAGATAACAGTGTATATGATAATATACATTAGCACAGATGACTCTGTATATGACAAGTCACATTAGTATATATAATGATGTATATAAGTCACATTAGTAACAGATAACTGAGTATAAGTCACATTAGTACAGATAACAGTATACATGATAAGTTACATTAGTACAGATAACTTTGTATTTAAATCATACTAGTACAGATAACTGTGTATATAAGTTATATAACAGATAACTGTGTATGTAGGTTACATAAGTAAAAGATAACTGTGTATATAAGTTATATAAGTAAAAGATAACTGTGTATTTTAGTCACATTAGTACAGATAACAGTATACATGATAAGTTACATTAGTACAGATAACTTTGTATTTAAGTCATACTAGTACAGATAACTGTGTATATAAGTTACATAAGTAAAAGATAACTGTGTATTTTAGTCACATTAGTACAGATAACTTTGTATTTAAGTCAGACTAGTACAGATAACTGTGTATATAAGTTATATAACAGATAACTGTGTATGTAGGTTACATAAGTAAAAGATAACTGTGTATTTTAGTCACATTAGTACAGATAACTTTGTATTTAAGTCATACTAGTACAGATAACTGTGTATATAAGTTATATAACAGATAACTGTGTATGTAGGTTACATAAGTAAAAGATAACTGTGTATATAAGTCACATCAGTAACAGATAATTGTGTATATTACTCACACTAGTAACAGTTAACTGTGTATATGATAAGTGACATTAGTACAGATAACTGTGTATATGATAAGTGACATTAGTACAGATAACTGTGTATATGATAAGTCACATTAATAACAGATGACTGAGTATATGACAAGTCACATTAGTACAGATGACTGTCCAGAATCAAACTTTGCTCACCCATACAGTAAGAGCAACAAAACAAGTCCTCCAAAATTGTTTTCTGAAACATATGCATCTTCTCTGAAGGCCAAGAAAATGAAGATACAAAGTGTGGCAGGAATAATGTAGTTAGCCTGCGTAAAGATAAAAAAAATGTAGCTTGAGTCTGTTAAACTGGTCTTTGAAAAGTTAATATACAAACACTTGGAATAAATAACACAACATGGAATTTTTCACAAAGTAAAGCCTACCTCATGTAGCATGACAACGTGGGATTGGTCACAAAGTAAAGCTCCCTCATGTGTTACATGATAACATGGGGTATTTCATAAAGTAAAGCCTCCCTCATGTAACATGGCGTAGTTCACAAAGTAGTCTCCATGATGTTTCATGTAAAAAACTTGGCTTAACATGAAAATAATTATGTTTAAAAACAATACCTAATACACAATATTCAGGTTAGTTTGTCACAGAATAAGATGATTTATGGAGACATCTTCCTGATCATGTACCAAACATGTTTTGAGCTGAATACTGGCACTCAGTCAT